AAAGCTTGAATCTATGACCTGCCAATTTGAAGTATACCGCTCAGGAAGTCTCCCCGTCACTTTTGCGGGTTGGCATCCCACTGAAGCCGTCGAGTTTTTTTTTCACAAATGAGCCAAATAAATAATTGAGACCTGTCAAATCCTCTATTATATTTTCAAAATTATTAGTTTGTATGCATTTCCATTAAATATCCTCCAGAGATAAGTTATAGATAACGTCTGGCACAAAGTCAAGTGTACAATGTACATGCGTTGCAATAATTTTTGCGAGAAATTACTATCCTAGGGTACACACCTCACGCCGGGGTACTGGTTTAAAAACTAGATTCATTTCAATCAGCCTAAAAAACGCAGCATTGTAAAATGAACATGTCTCGTTGTTTTTTGCTGCCCTTATAAACTCAACCATGTATTAGAGACAGCCTGTGGGAAAATAGTCTTTCTTCTTTCCTAGTGATAGTAAATAATATCTTTCGGTTTTTTAAAAGTGTCTTATTATGAGGTATTTAATGACCATTTCTTTCCCATTTATGAGTCATAGTATCTGTCAATTTTTGTTAATGTTATCTATGGCGTACTGAGGATTAATAAGGACTGTATAACAACTATTTGCATTTAGCTTGTTACATCCTTAAGGAACTGTCTGTATATGGTATGCATTTATTGTCGCCAGCAGCCCAATTGACGTGCGGACGGAATGGGATCGAGTATGTTCTCCACACAATAGGGGAGAGTCACAAACCTCCTCTTTTACATAAAATATAAGTAAAAAAATGGACATCCCAGAATCTATACTTTGAAAGAAGGCAAAACCTTTGCGAAAGAAAAAGAACAGGTTCTACGCAAACGGTTAAAAGCTGATTCCGCAGTCCGTCGGCAGACGTGTAGGTCAATGAATCTCACGTCAACTCAGTAATTTTCTTTGGCCTACGCATGTTAAAATTCAATGCTGGTTCTTATTTAAACGTTTGTTTGGTCACCTCGACTTGATAGGCCTCTAAAAGTGCCAGAGAGTGGTCGGATAGCATGCACGCGCGAACTGACCCATGTACAACGCTCACACTCTCGAGACTGTTAGCACGTGCGCACGTGCCCCACCCCCCAATCCGGTCTGGCTAATCATCTCCCTGAGGCTGATTCCCACATGAGGCCCTGTGATGACATCGGCCCTCGCGGCTGTGGACGCACACTCTTCGGATTGCCAAAGTACTCCAACCTATTCTCCACTAGGTCTGTACAGGACATACTCTTCTTCCCACCTGGCGTCCCACTTATTTTCTTCCCAGATGGAACCAGGCCTAAAGATCACAGCGACAAGGACTTACCCTATTAACTTAAGCCATTGCGATAGGCGTTATGACGTTTAATAGTTCACAATTATTTTTTAGCTGCGACTGAAATAAGACAAGTAGGACGAAAAAGGGCCAAAATGATATAATAAGCTTCGGGCCAACGTATCTGCAGTGCGATTGCCACATACAGACCTGTCCCATCGACAAAATACAGGGTGTCCCAAAAAATGTATACAAATTTTAAATAACTGTAAACTTGATGTTTATTATGATCTCATAGTTTTAAAAATGTAAAAATATTCCCAAGTATCATTTTATTGTTTTTCACTGAATGCTCTTAAACTGACGTCCATTTTGATCCAGACATTGTTCTTAATACCACTCGCCATACTGTACTTTTCGATCTGGATCATCGTCAGTAAGAGCATGAACTAATCTTGGAACTACCTTTTACAATGGCAACGTTGCAAAATGCGCAAACATGTAGTAAAAAAATAATAAAACGATAGTTGTAAATATCTTTACATTTTTGAAATAACACAATTATAACAAACACTAAGCTTACAATTATTTAAAATGTGTATGCACTTTTTGGGACACCCTGTATTTATTGGAAGGCCAAGATCCTGCTTTAACATAACAACTCGTCGTTAACAGAGCTGGTGCATTCCCCTGCCAGCAATCACTCAACAGAGACCTGCTTCCGCTCGGCGTCAGTTGTTTTGCTGTTTTATTTCCAGAGAGCTGTACTTAGGGTCTCAGTGAAGTTCGCAGTTCCAGCTACCCACTAGAGTGGCAGGAGAGGACGTGGGCGCTTTTTCCGACCAGACAGCAACCCGCTTTCAACTGCTTTGTCATTCTGACCTTTGACCAGATTTACGAAACCTGAGAGTCGTGCGAATGCCGGGAGCCCGGTAGCAGGGTAGGTTCCAAGGTTCAAAAAGACAGATAGTTGCTGAACTGCAACGGTCGCGCGTTTTGCAGTTACTTCTTGTCTGGCCAATACATACAATGTTAAAAACCTGAGGAGGGGCATTAACGAATCAGCTTACAACACGTATATAGCATTGCTGGCAAAGATAAGGGAGACTGGAATGGCCATTCCTGGCCCATTAGCCTCATCAGCTAGCCAAACTCAACTCAACTGGTGCTCCACTCGAGGTTCGAACCCGCAAGCTTGTTAGTAAGAGGTCGAACGCTCTAACTAGTGCACCATGGGCTCATCGCCTTACCGGTTTATTTTGAGTTGACCCAATTGTGAAAAAATTCGAGGCGTTCGGCAGGATATAAACCCGCGTAATAGAGAAGGCCTTTACCGGAAGCCAACGGTCTAACCGCTAAGCTACAAATGCCCCACCTCGCGCCATGAATTTAATCACAC